CCCCCCCCCTCAGCCCCCCGGGGCTCCCCCAGCTGCACCTTTTGGGGTTCAGGGGGTGGGTCTCCTCACCTGTGGGAGGTTGGGACCTCCGGGGGGGCGGTAGGACCCCCATGTGACCCCCCCCACCCCCCCAGACTCGGTTCACTCCCTCACCTGTGCCCTGATGCTGCTGAACACGGACCTGCATGGGCAGGTGAGCACGGTGGGAACTCCAAAAACCCCCAAAATCTACACCTTGCCTTTTTTGGGGGGGGACTAGGGGGATATGGGTGTGGGGGCAGAGGGGTTTGGGGAGTGGGTTGGGGCAGATTGGGAGTTTTGGGTGGTTCCAGGGGGCAGGTTTGGGGTGGATTGGGAGTTTAGTGGGTACAGGGGGCAGATTTGGGGTATATTGGGATCTGGGGGGGATATTTGAGGCATTTGGGGGGCAGGTTTGAGGTTTTGGCAGCTCCAGTGGGGCAGATCTAGGGTTGTTTTAGACCTGGTCAGGGGGCAAATTTTTAGTCTCCCTGATTTCTGGGCCAAATTTGGGGCCCCCACCCTCCAAATGTGCTCCCCCAGCTCACAACACCCCCAAATTTGCCCCCCCCAGCACTTGCGCCGGTCCATGACCAGCTCTGAGTTCGTGTCCAACCTCAGTGGGATGAACGATGGGCAGGACTTTCCCAGGGAGCAGCTCAAGGTATTCTGGAGGGGCCCTGAGGCTGGAAAAGGGAGTTCCCTCCCCTAAACCCCCTCAAGCCCCCCCGACACCCCATGACCCTCTAATTCACCCCCCCAGGCTCTTTACAGCTCCATCCGCAGCAAGAAGTTGGAGTGGGCAACGTGAGTGGGGGGAGTTTGGGAGGGATTTGGGGGTCGAGGGGGGGGCTCCCTGTGATCCTGAACCTCCCACAGGGAGGAGGAGGAAGAGGAGGAAGAGGCTGGGGGAGGGAAGAAGATCCTCCCCCAAATCCCCGAGCTGCCAGGGGGAGCTGTGACCTTCCGCAGGGGGTGGTTGGCCAGAAAGGTCCTGGCAGAGGCTGATGGCAAGAAAAGTGAGTCTGGGGGGATTTGGAGGGTTTGGGGTACAGGGGGAGGATTTGGGGTGGGTTAGAGGGTACAGGAAAGCAGATCTGGGGTGGTTTCGGGACTCAGAGGAGAATATTTGGGGGGTGTTTGGATCTGGAGGGGCAGATTTGGGGTTTTGGGGATCCAGGAAGGCAGATCTGTGGTTTGGGGGATCCAGGGGGGCAGATCTGGGGTGTAGTGGGGTAGATTTGGGATCCATTGGGTCAGGGTTGTGGGGGGTAGATCTGGGGTGGTTTGGAGTTGGTGGGGGAGGCAGATTTGGGGTCTCTCATGCTCTTCAGGGTCCCAAAGGGTGACTTGGGGTGTGTTGGGATCTCTGGACGCAGCTTTGGGGGTGAGACACAGATGTGGGACCGTTTGAGCTTCACTGTGACTCAGAGGGGCCCATTTCAGGCTGATTCCCACTTTAGGGGGGTA